ATATATCATTTGTTGAAACTAAGCTGGAAAAGTAAATATGAAGGTCAATTAAATTATAAAACATGAAGTAAAGTCCTTTTTTAATTAATTTGGTGCATTTTAAATGTATTTATTTATTTAGTGGTTCATTTATATATTTCTACTTTTATTTCTAATCATGTCAGTTTCGGTCCTCCATACAACAGAACTTGGAAGAGGTAATTCTTTGACTGAATCAGGTGTGTTGGAGCAGGGAAAAACATAAAACAATGAGGGCTGCAGCCCTCGAGGACCAGGATTGCCCATCCCTGACCTGGAGTCACATAAAATTCTGTGCCATTGCCTGTAAGAAAAGTTCAGCTCGGGTTTTGTGTCGAGAAGTGGCTGGTGAAGCTGTTCTGTGAACACAATAACACATTTTTTGTTGATGACAGGCAAATTTGTAGCTTCTGCTAGAGTATGTAGCTCAACCATTCCTTTCAGAAGACATGTATTTAGTTAAATAAGATATGTTGATGAGATGATTTCTATATCAGCACCTGCACCCCAGAATCAACACCACTGACACACCCCTAAGTAATAAGGGCTACCACCAAGTAAGAGGCAACGTGAAGAGCAAGGAACTCTCCACGCAGGTCAGAGACAAAACTGTAGAGATGTACAGATAGGGCTTGATTATAAAGTGTTTTAAAACTCTGAACTTACTTCAGAGAACAGCTAACTGTGTTATTAGGAAATAAAAAGAAGATGGCACCACAGAAAAACTGTCAAGGAAGGCTTGGCCACCAAAACACAAGGACTGAAAAGGGAGAGCATTAGTCAGAGACGCAAGAGGCCAAAAAATATCCCTGATGGAGCTTGGAACATTTTGGTGAGCTTCCAGAGATGGAAGCAGCATTCCCAGAGAGGCCAGAAAAAAAAAACATTGTTTAAAGAAAAAACAAAACAATAGGCCTTTTGGTGTATTGTTGGAAGGCTTTACAAACAGGTGGAAGAATATATGTTTCAGAAATGCAATATCCTTACATTGAAGCATGGTGGTGGCAGCATCATGCTGTGTGAGTGTTAACGTTAGAACCGTGAAACTGGAGCTTAGAGAAAGCTGGATAGCACAAAATGTAGAGAAATTGTTGAGGTGAAAATGTTGGCATCTTTCAGTGATTTGGATGGGGAGTGGAATACGTTTACAATCTACTGTACGTGATACAAAAAGATGTAAATATTTTGAAAACAAGATCCTACAAAAATCAAAAGTTCATTGATATCTATTGAAGTTATGTTGTCTTACATCAGCCGTTGCATGTCAGCTTAAGTTTAAACAGTGCAAAGTCTTCAAATAACTTTTTTTTTACTTGTGCGACACTGTGACAATGTTACAGTTCTAAGATCTAATTAGACAAACTTTGCATGTGTTTGTATTTTTACAGATTCTCCTGATGATCCCCGAGGTCCTTCTGGACAACCCGGGCTGCCTGGTCCCCGAGGAGAACCGGGTTTCTTTGGCTTCAAAGGCTTTAAAGGTACAGGAAGCTGATTTATCACATAAGAAAAAATACAGTAACTAATGTTTCAAACTAATGTCTGAATCTTGGAAAAATCTTTTTGATATATATTTACTCATATTTATGGCAGGCTGCAATAGATTCAAGAACATCAAAAGCAGTTTTGTCTGTATAGTAAAACTTTCAATTTTAAGCCTTTTTGATTCGTTTCGTTTAATTAAATTTTAAGTTTTACTTGAGTCAGACTGCATTCCTGGGTTATATATACCAAAACAATTAAAGGCTTTATTTATGCATATGATAAAACACATTGTAACCTGTTGCTTATAAAATATTTTAGGGGTTAAAGTAGTGGTGTTCACTGTCCTGATACCAGTATCTGGCCCAATTTACAAATACTCATTCAAAATGCCCCGATACCCTGAGTTAAGTCCTATGCAAGTATCAATATCAGATTTGATTCTCGTTTCAATGTGTCACAGTTTGCATTTCAAATAAATAGTTTTTCAGTTCAGTTTTTTAAAAAATATATACAAATTGAAAGAAAATTATTTTTATTTATTTGAAAATCTTTCAACAATTTACATCATGCTATACATTTGAAGAAAGACGTTTTCTTGTTCAGAATAAAATAAAAAAAAATTTAAATTCATTGTGTAATTTTAGGTTCTAACTTAGTGAATACTCTGTGTTGTCAAGTACCTAAGCTGACATAATCATACATTTACTTGGTTTGAGAATAACTGTTTTCAGGACACCCCTAGATTAAAGTACATATTTAAAAATATGTATTCATAATGTAAAACTAAAATAATATAAAAAACTATGTTTGGAAACCCAGATCACATGTACTCAGAGAGACGGCTGTTAGTGGTTGTGTTTACCATCAGTTATAAGAAATTTAATTTTGTTTTTGCGTTTTCTCTCGTGACTTTTTGTAACCTCAGCCCTCATTCTTTTTTTCTAGTGCTCCATCTTATGCATTTTTTTTGTTTCCACTTCATTTCATTTTCCTTCATTTAAGTAAATTTAAAACCCCATTGAGATCAAGATATCATTTTCAAAGGGGACCTGGGCACAAGCATCACACATTATAAAAGAAGTACATACTATAAGTCTAAAATGAAAAACATCATAATGATTTAGACAGTCATAAAAGGCATGACCTGTAAGAATAAAAACATTATTTAAAACACTGACACTGATTAATGACATCGTGCTGCTTAATTTCAAGAAATGTCATAAATAATAACTTCTCTAAATGATCTTTATATAGACAATAAGTTCACCTCATTTGAACAGTTAACACAGAAATTTGACATCCATAAGTCACAGTTCTTCAGGTATTTACAGCTGAGACATTTTGTAATGTCAAACTCTGGATGTTTTCCTCTACGCCCCCCAACTTCTCTTATAGATGAGATTCTGATGTGTAAGTCTGTAACAAAACGCTCTATGAGCAGAGTTTATTCTCTGCTCAGCTCATTTTCTKACTCCAATTTAGATTCTTTGAAGGGCAAGTGGGAGATGGACTTGGAGGAATCTATATCAGACACAGTTTGGCAAAAAATTATTCACAATATATATTCGTCCTCAGTATGTGTGAAACATGTTATAGTTCAATTCAAGGTAGTACATTGTCTACACTGGTTTAAGGACAGATTGTGCAAATTCAAAAAGGGCTTGGATCCGTCGTGTGATCACTGCGGACAATCTCCTGCCACACTTCTGCACACATTCTGGTCCTGTCCAAAGTTACATTGATATTGGTAAGGCATCTTTGACACCTTTTCAGGACTATTTGGACGAACTGTTCATCCATCACCACTCATTTCTCTTTTTGGGGTGGCTCCAGCAGAGGCTTCCCTCAATGAACATCAGAGGACAGTGTTAGCTTTCTGCTCTCTACTGGCTAGAAGATTTATTCTTCTTCGATGGAAGGATCCACATCCCCCAGTATATGGTCATNCTACAGCGCTGCTATAGCCAGTATCACTCCACCCCTGTTAACAATAGGTGTTAATTAGGTGTCAACGATAGCCATGTGATGTGAGTATCAGTCATATGGATGCAGTGCTTTGTAGGGGTCACCTCGAGTGAAGAAACGTTACTGCCTCAAAGCAGGTCTCGGACAGGCCTGACAGAAGGCAGGAACACTGAACTCTATTTTAGGCCATGACAGGTCATTTCAACCTAGAAGAGGACTTCAGTTCTCTTAATCAGATAATGAACAGAACAATCTTTTCTGTTCGTGATTCATTTGTTGTTTAACTAAGAACGTTTATGCATTTGTTAATCATAATAATGACATGTCACAAAGAAAGAAGAATCACTTCTATTCTTTTATCGTGCCTAAAAGATTAATTAATGGTATAAAAATCACAGAGAAAATCATCACCATGTTTTCATTGCGTTTTTATATAAATCACTGTTTTTATTTTACTGGAAACATCAGTAATATAATTTTGAGTTTTCTTAAGAAAATCTTTCATTTATCTGGACAACAAGTTCAGACTGATTATTTAAACAGAAATGTTAATTAATCATCATAAATGTTTTACAGTGATTTCTCTTAGAGTCTATCATAAAGAAAGCTAAAGAGGAGGTTATCATTCTGTTGTGACAGCTACAGAATGTGTCCTTGCGCTGGCACCACTGGCAAAGTCTTTATCTCTCTTTCCTTTCTCTGACTCAACTCTTAACGCCTGAGGGCAGATCCAAGTTGTCCGACTCTGTACTAACACGGACGTCTTGGAGAGACACACAGACTCTTCTTCCTGAATGCCGAAATGGGAAGACCGGCTTTTCTCTCCGGAGGAACAGCCTGGCCGCAGGTCTGACTCAGCAGCCAAATAGGGTAGATTTGCTGGCCAGGACAGTAAGCACGCCGCTTCTGTCCACCCAGAGACTTGCGTCTCTTAAGTGTTTTTACCTCCCGAGGGGAGAACTTTTATTTTGAAGGACAACCGGAAGCTCCAGCTCGAATCTTTCTGACGAAGATCTAAGCAGACGAAAAGTTGCCTAAAATAACACTTTATCGCCGACGAACAGGTAGCGGGCCGGGCGGACGTTCCCTAGCTGATCTGAGGTGAGGCAGTGTATTTGCCCGGAGTGTGGTCAAGAAGCCATCAACAGGTAAATGCTGTCGTGTTCTGGGGTGACGTGTCATGTGAAGTCTGAGTGCAGAGAGGACGTTGCTGATCCAGTTGTCACATATCCTTATCAAAATAAAAGCAGAAACACCAACCTTTAATTTCAAACCTTTTCTTTCCTTCCTTTGCCAACCTTAAGTTAAAGTGCCAGTAGAATTGTTGGTTTTAACATCAGAACTGACATTTTTACTGTTCTATATAAGTAATCTGAGTTTGAATGTGAACTGAAATTCGGACACGAGTTTTATCTCATTTAACTTTGAAGCTTGTTATAGGAATAACCACAATCAGGTGTAACTTATGATCTGTTCAATTTGTGTAAATAAATGATTGCATA